AGGGGAAGGAGGGCCGGCGCGACGCGGAGCGCGAGGCCCGCCGGCGCAGCCGCGAGATCGACGCGATGCTGGCGCGCGAGCGGCGCTCGGTGCGGCGCCTGGTCAAGATCCTGCTGCTGGGCGCCGGCGAGAGCGGCAAGTCGACCTTCCTCAAGCAGATGCGCATCATCCACGGGCGCGAGTTCGACCAGAAGGCGCTGCTCGAGTTCCGCGCCACCATCTACGAGAACATCCTCAAGGCAAGCGGGCCGCGCCCGGCCGGCCGGCCGGCCGGCGTTCCCCGGGGAGGCGGCCCGCGGGCCCCGCGCAGCGGCGGCCTTGCGTAGCGGGAGGGGGGCGCGGCCGAGCGGCCCGGGGGCAGCTCCTGGCCCTCCAGGTGTGCCGGCCCGTAGCCGCGCACCTGGGCCGTGCGGGCGGGCGGGCCGGCGGCCCAGGTGGGGCAGCACGTCCGCGGACGCGCGCGCTGCCGGGCCGGTGCGGAGGCCACATTCTCACCAGCTTGGCCGCAGGCTCGGTCGTCCTCGCGAGAGAGCCGCGGAAAACAGTGGGGACCCAGGTCGGGCCGCGGGCGACTCCGGCTTCCTTGGCTGCAGCGCTTCTCCCCGAAGCGGGACTAGCCCTCGCTGCATTGCGATGGTCTTTACGCGCCCGGCAAGGGGGTTGGGGGCGCAGCTTTGGAAAAGCGTTGGAGGGGCGGAAATGGAACTGGACGTTGCTGGCTGAGCCCAGGCTGCTCCGTGCGCGCTGTTCTTCCTGCCCGCGTCAGGCAGGAGCGCGCTGGGGCCGGTGACAGTTCCGAGGGCGTGGGGGGGCTGCCTGCCGGCTGGGAGGGAGATCTATGGGGCTGTGGAAGCCCTCAGTTTAAATTCGATGGTTTGGAGAGGGCAAATGACCGGAATGCTGGTTAGGAGGCAAGGGAGACAATGGTGTTCTGCGTTGCTTTTTGAACTGTAACTGGAAAGATGGAATAAAGGTATTCTGAAAGTACATACAGAAACTGGAGGGGGGGGTGTGAGCTCTTAGTGGTAAAGGCATGGCAAAGTGTCAGCTGTTTACACAGCTTTTCCTCTGTTAGCAATGGAAATGCTTCTTATGCGTCTTATTATGATCCTTGCAAGGTAGGATTGGGGGACACCAGACAACAGGTGGCACAGGGGAAGGTATGGGGTAGATACAATGAATGGCTGTCTGTGCATAACAAAAAATCGCACTGAATGGTAGGGTGTCCCCTTTTCTTCCTAAGTGAAGTTGCAGCAACCTATTAAGGACCTCTCCTAAAGTCACAGATGGTAAAAATCCATACTTTTGCCTCTGCTCCAGGAAGGAAGGAAGGAAGGAAGGAAGGAAGTCTGGGTAACGTGTGTTGGGTGGGCTCAGTGTGTTCTTTTTTTACCCACATCAACTTCTAGAATTCAGCAAATGCAGCTTAGCAACATGTGCTGATATGGCAATGCTTGGATACGTACAAAATCTGTAGGAAGGGGGGAAGGAATAACTGGAGCAAAACAGTTGAGCAGGATATACACACCCTAGTAACTGCACAGACTTGTTTTCAGATTTTGCTCTCCAGCCCTCAGGGGTAGAAACCTACTTTGAAGACACCAGGAATCCAGATTTTCAGTAGCACCAAGTATATAGTCCTAAATATTACAAACAAATAGATTCTAGATCATTGTTTTTGGCATCTATTTTCCCCTAAGGAGTAGCTATTTAGCTTGTTTCATGGAAAAGAGGTTTGTGCAAGTTCAAGCCTTACAAAATTGTTCTAGAGTGAGCTTTTGAGCTTATTTCATCAGATGCTTTTTTCAACCAAGGTTCACACCATAACGAGCCTGCTGTTCTTTATGGTGTTGTAAAGCTTGGTACAGCCCCCTCTGCTATGGTTTGTGGTAACATTCAGAATACATGGAATGTTATCCCTAGGAAGAAGACATCCCTTCTTGGTGGTAGGGATAGAAATACACCCTAAAATGGCTGGCTAGCCATGTTAGCTGGACTTCCTGCAAGAAAGTGTACACAGCGATATTAGTGTTTTAATTGTGGATTTCTCCATATGCATATTCCATATCAAGGGGAATAGTGAATGTTTGCAGGTAGATCTTATAAGTGGCATAAACTAGAAAGAGTATTTTTTAAAAAACGATGGTTTAGGCAATATTAAAAGCAATACAGCATGAAGAATCATTACTGAAAGAGGCAATAAGTGTAAAAGTGGGAAGAGGTATCCTGGAATTGGTGGTGAATGTGGTGCACCCCAAGCTTGGGTTGAACTCTGCAGCTTTTCGTGAGTCGAATGCAGAAATGTGAAGAGCCTCAAATCTGGCGCTGCATTTTTGGGGGTAACGTGGAAGAGGACAGGATCTAGCATCTTTCCTAGTCACAGTCCTCTAATTTGAGTCATTTTTATTTATTTTTAATCACACCCTTTTTTTTCCTCCAAGCAGTCCAAGGCAGTTTACATAATACACCCCTACCTTTTACCATCGTAGCAGCCTGTGGAATAGGTCAGGCTGAGAGTTAGTGACTGGCCCAGTATTACCAGTGAGTTTCCCTGCCAAGTGTAAACTGGAACATGGATCTCCTAAATCCCAGTCTAGTACTTTGACCACTACACCGCACTGCTTCAGGCACCTCCCCAAGAATTGTAGTAGCAAATACGTATGCTCCTATTTAGTATAACTCAACATATGCCTTCTGAGACTCTGTGGCAGTAAGGAACCATGGGTAGAATACCATCTAATATGTATTCATTTGGTTTCTTTATCATATAGAAATATATTTACAAGGGAAATACGTGGCTTAAGTTTAATCAAGTTTGAGTTGATTTCTGACCTTTTCCTGGATGAATAACCCATCTTCCAGTCCATGAACAGCTTGCCTTGGCAACTAATTAACAGAATTTTGAGATGTCGAACAGCTTGAGCACATGTGAAACTGAACGTCTATTGTTACATTATTTAACTGCTCTTAGAAAACACCCCCACCTGTCTGACTATACGGCTAACAAGTCTGCATTTGTATCTCTGTCAACCATTTGTCAATATTGTCCTAGGTATTAAAATATGAAACCTTGGAATGAAACCTACAAAGGTTTTCGTTAGGCAAGCATTGCATAGTATTTAGGGCCATTTGGATGAAATGCATTTTGATTTACTAAGCAAGTTTAGACTGAAAAAGGCCTACAGTGCATATGATGCCTCAGCAAGCACCATTTAATGAGTATAGATTATTTTTAATGAGAGCTGAAGATTATTATGTGACTTGAGGTTGGAGAATGGTTGCCATTCCTGCCGTAAATATACAGCCATATTAGATTGAATGGTTGGTTGGTTGGCAGTCTGTCACTGTCAAAGAAAATATTACTGTTTCTGGTACTTCCAAAGATTTCAAAAATGTTCCCTCCTGACTACAGTTTAGAAAAGAAGTGATGATCTTGTGCTTAGAAGACAAGTACTGAGAAAGGGGGTATGTACCCTTGTAATAAAAAAAAATTGTTTTAGAATGGGTGGTGGCTTGCTTTAAAGCCATCTAAATCACCCCAAACAACATACCAATTCACTCTTCTCACTTTTAAACATTTTCCTCCTGAGGAAGCACACTCATTATATCTGTTTGCTTTAATGATTATAATTATTGGTTTGCAGCCAAATTGAGATTTTGCATAACCTTGGCTGTGCAGTCTATGTGCATTTATAGTGCAGAATGGCATCTCCTTCTACACGAGCTGTGTACAGTTTGCAGGCTTGTTACGTGATATTAATAAGGTTAACATTTGAAAATAAGGATGTACAGATTTGAGGCAAGGAAGAAATGGTAGTTAGGAACAAAACGGTGTTTCCCTTCTGATAGAAAATCAATGTTTATGCTATTTTATGGAGGAGGTGCAATGATACAACTTTGGAAGTGAACCCGGTGCAGAGCAGAGGTAGCTGGCCCTTAAGTAGAAACAGAAGGCCATCCCGAATGGCTCAGTGATTGATCAAGGGGTGATAAAGCAATTGAGGTGACCTGCTAGTCTGGCTTCCAGTTTCAAGTTGTATAAATGCATAAAATAATGGGGTTTATGATGACAGATGAGGTTTTCCTACGGTTCTTTATTTACAAAGAAAGGCGGCCCTTTCGTCTGTTCAGTTATAGAAGAAAATGGTGTGAAGCCAGTTTTGTCTTTCTGGCAGTAAACCAGACCATGTAAACCCATGATCTGCTCTGGAGCGTTGTGGACATCCCTGGATCAAAATGAGGGGGCTTGTGGGGGCTGCAGTGGGGAGGGAAGGTCAGGGAAGGTCTGTTCTATGTGTGAAAGTTCTCTTGCGTGAATGGATGTCTTCTCATGCAAAATTGGATCCACACCTACATATTTGCAATGCTACTTTTCAGAAACTTGTTTTAGCTGGAACTTTAAAAATAAAATCTATCTTTAAACTAAAATTAAGAAATTATTCTTTTAAACCATTATTTTTTTCAACTTGCCAGAAAGGACTAGCTTGCCAGAATGGTGTTCCTGTATCCAAGACATTGTATTGGATTATAGAATACATAAGTTCAGCAAGGCATTAGTTATTTTTGGTAAACGTGAATATCTAAATTTCAATTCCTTTTACCAAAACTTTTCTGATGTCAAGTCACCTTGTTTTTGCTTATAGTTTTTTGTTTGTTTGTTTTGTTTTTACAGGGAAGACATGGTTAGAAAATACTGAAAAAAGCCACTAATCCAAAATTTACTTTTCCATTTGGAGTAGGCAATGGGCAGTGAGCAATGAGTAGTATTTTTTCCTAGCATTTATGGGTAAGGCTTCCCAAACATTTTTGCTTTGGCTTAAGTAAATATTCACTGGTCAACTCTGATTTTGCCTGTTAAGCCTAAGCCTCAGGGTAGTTTTTCATGAGAAGCACTAGTGTTGGGGATACACAGTCTTTCCAAAAAATGAAAAAACCTGCATGGTAGTGTTGCCAGCTTAGTAACACATCTGGATTGCTCATATGCCTCTCACAGTGCAATTCTAAGTTTATTTGAAAATATATCCACCTGTTGTTCAATGGGTTTGACTTTCCAATAAGTATTTTCAGAGTTCTGGCTTTAATACATTAAACCATAATAAATTTGCATGTGAATAAACAACTAAAGAAGAAGTCTAGCTAAAGAAAAGTCTACTTGATTTTTTTAGATTTTGCAGATCATCCAAATGCATCTTAGAATTGGGTGGAACTTACTGACTGTATTGTTTGACTACAAGTTGCTTCTCTAAACAATAAATACCATTCCGTTATTTTCCTGAAATCTAAAGATGTTTAGAAGACTTTTTAAAAACAAACTTTAGATCCTTATTTCTCTCGCCAAAATGCAGCTAAACTGGCTTAAACACCATTTGTCAAAGGCAGATTACTGTTGTTTTGGCAGTTGCCCTTTTCAGAAGAATTTGTGCACTTGTCCCCTTGACCAACGTCCAAAAGGCTTTGTGAAATTGCATTAGGGTCGACAAGTCACAATTGCGTATTTTCTTGCAAGTTCTGTCTCATCACAATGTAGATACTCTGAGTTGTCCAGCGATAGTTGGTGAGCTGTGATTGCCTGCAGCACTTGCATTAGCCTGATTAGATGCCTGATGTTTACACCAAATTATACAAATGAGTGTTAAGAAGCATAATATACAGAGCATCCTCAGATTCCATTATGTGTAAGGTAATGCACAAGCATGTGCCTAAAAGGCGTGAAAACGTAATCTGTCTGAAGCTAATAACCTTTTCCGTTTTGAAGCGTCTGCAGTTAAATAGATGGCACACCTGTGTAGGCTCAGTAAAGAATGGTTTCTTTTGTTCATATACCTGTCCTTTTAGTGCCGTATGCAATGCTTCCTCATCTGGGGATAAATGGAGAAATGGGAGGGGGGTTATTTTAATATGTTGGCTTTAATTCTGTACTCAGAACAACAAGAAGCTGTTTGTAAGCTTAAAGGAACAAAGCCGATGTTTGTTACATTTTCTTCCACCAAGCAGGGTAAAGGGTTTTTTTCTGGACCTCTGAAAGTTACAGGGGATCATGCAGTCTGGATACTGTGAGATACTCCTTGTCAAATGCACCCCAGTCCCTGCCCAGCATTAAGTATCTGACCTATATCCTCCAGAGTACAAAAGTCCGGGGGTTCCACCCATATTCCAGGCTCGTGTGTCTTCGTTTTAGCAGAAATAATGTAGCATTTCGGCAGATTTAGAAGAAATAATGCACAGTACATTTGTGTCCATGAAGCCATTACTTGATGTTTAGTCCCAACATTAGTTTTGCCCTGTCACTTCAGAATAACAAAATAACTTGCTATGAGATCGTCCTGCAGACAGATGTTCATGTTGTGACGGAAGTAATTGGGTTAGATTAATGGTATTTCAGAATGCTGTTCTCCTTTATAGTAGTTCTCCTCTCCACCTGTTTCAAGGACTAGGCTAGGGTAAAATCTCCCCTTTTTTTAATCCTGACAATAGATAGGAAGTAGACGAGATTGGCAGAAAGTTGTCTAGTGAATCCCCATCAGGGTAAGTTTTCAATTGAGAGAGAGCTTCCAAGCTGTCTTCCCTTAATGGGTATTAATTAGTCGGTGTGATTTTTGTTGTGTTTTGAAGCAAGTTGCAGTGAAGTTCTTGTTCAATAGTGGCAGTTGCAGGCGGGGAGGCGGGGAGTAGTTGCATCCCATGGTAGGTTCTTTGGGGACAGAAAGCAGGCTGTGGTCCTTCCAAAGTTCCCTGTCACTGTTAGGCCTGGGACGCTAAACTGTTGTCTCTTGGTGATCGATACTAATTTTATATATTCAGTTTTTCTTTACATGTCATCGGTACTGTGTACATCACTTTGCAAGGACATGGCCCTGGAAAGCAACTAATACGTACTCTCAGGAAAAGTCCAACTAGTATAAGCAGCTTGCTTTTTCTCAATGGAAAAAGTCAACAAGTATCTTGCTGTAATTAGCAGAAAACTGGGATTTCATGCAATATACAATTCTGTGTATGACCAAATGGTCTTCAGGGTAACCATAAGTGGAACAAGGAAGCACAAAATAATGTTGGATAGAACAACATCAATTTAGAATTGCATTTTGTGTCTTCCATGTTCTTTTTGATTTACTCCGAAGCAGAGGGCCCCAACTACTGCTATAAATTGCAGCACTGATAGGAGTGTTAGGTGGAAATGAGACAATCCACTGGAATGAGAGCGGGGTTTAAAATGTTTGGTTGCGGTTTAATGAACTCTAGCTGCATGACCTGAATGCATGGCTTCCTTTTACTAGGTTTTAATAATTCTTCGTACAGAAAGGATGTTTTTTAAACAGTTTGAAGGATGACATTGTATGAAGCTGAAGTAATAGGCATTCAAGACATGTTTACATTAGAAGGGCTGCACTTGAAAAAGCCCTACTTGATAAGTTACTTGGGGACCTTTTTAATTAGCTGAGTTTGTACTAAGAGATGGTGCAACTCTTCTACAAAACGGAAGCCAGCAACTGTAAATTTTTTAACACAAATTAGTTGGAGGCCTCTGAGAATCTTCTGTTAAAAATGTGGAGATTTTGATCTTTTCCTGGTAAATCTTGCATTACAAGATTTATTTTAAATTCTCAGTCCTCAGGGCTGTGCTCCTTGATTGCGTGAACAGATCATGTCATTGAAGCTAATTGAGAAGAGTTAATGAAAAAATCTCGGAATAATCCATACCACATTGTGAAGTTGTAAAAATACAAAATGGATGGGAAGAGTGCTTCATGTAATCCTTATGTTGTTTCAGCAGACATACCTACAATTCAGAAAATGCTGTCAATAACAGAGGTTGCAGCTAAAGGGACTATTCTAGGAATCTGTTTTCTGCTTCCAAGAATAAGGAAGTTAGAAGACAACCAATAATGATAAGTGTAGACCTGGATAAAAATCCATTGATTGTAAAGTACAAGCTTAGTTAAAACCTTCCCTTTAGGTGTGGGTGTTCAAGCTTGATATATCCACAAAACTATTAGAAGTCTTGCCAAGTGTGCATAATTCGAACCTTCTGCACAAAACTAGATGTTTACTGGTAGTACCAAAACAAACTGTAAATACCGTTCTCTTTGACTAGGAAAGAACAGAAACTTGATTGCAAATAAAAGCATTAATTGCAGAGGTGTTGTCTGAATCCAGGGTGAAAGTGCTGTCTTTGAAGATTCCGGAATAACCATAGACTTAACAGTTTTGATCTTCAGTTGTTAAATCTTGGTTTAAAGATGAGTGAATTCTGTTGCTCCCACATTGTGGAAGCCTTGTGCAATTTGCAGGAGTGAACCTTTGCAAATTCAGTGAGCTTTTGATAGGCGCAGGAGGGTGTTCGCACCAGCATCTAGTGCTGCCGGAGTTCAAAGATACATCTCTGTGCCAAAGACTCTGCATTTCCACGATCTTGGCACCCATTTATTTTGCAGTTACGGAGTGGAAACTTGTGAGTTGCTCTTGATTACTGTAACCTGTAGCGATTTTCCAGTGTCCTAATGAGTGGGGTATGAGTGAGATTGTGATGAGATTTAAGTGTGAAAAATGCTGTTAAAAACGAACAAGCTTAAAGCTGTAAGATTGAGCAGGGTAGTATCCTTCTGCTCACCAGAACAGAATAGCCTCTTGGCTCAACAAACACTGAAACTATTATGGCCTGTCTTATTGTGAATGCATTCTGGAGTCTGTTGGGGGGATACCAAATTAGGAAAGCCCCCCATCTATAAAATGGTTCGTTTCATGACTCACACAGAGCTTGTCCCACTGTTTCTCAGCAGGTCTCTTGAAGCTGTTTTTTAATTTGTGAAAAGGAAGAGCTTAATCCAGTAACTAGACAAATAAGAAGCAAGGAATTAATGTTGAGGACAATTAAAAAAAAACAAGAGGGGTTTTCACAGAGCCACTGTAGGATTCTCTAGGCTTTGCCTGAAGCTTGTAAGAGCACGACAGGGGCACCTGTTCCCACCACAAGCACTAAGGTGTTGGCATTAATCATGGCTCCCGGGTACTTTTAGCCTTTGTTGCATTCCTGTAACTCTTCTTCCTCTCCGCCCAAAAGGCTGTTATTTCACATGCCCTGTGAGCATGTGCAGAGTCCCTTCTGTTCAGCAGTGCTAGTAATTAAGAAATGATTGGTGGGAGGTGCCAGGGCATGCAGACAAATTGGTAAGGGAGAGGATACTGTGGGGAAGAGATGTGATGAGGGTGTATTGTTGCAGAGAAGGAAGCATGCAGGTATAGCCCCACAGAACTGGGGGTTAAGAGGCCTCATGCCTCCTCACATTGTACCTGGCGATGCTCAGATACCGTCGAAAAGGCTTCATGTAATATGTAACCACAATCAAACAATGGATCGCCTGCATCTTCTAGCATTTATTCTCACATCCTGAGTCATGATGCCTCTTAATGTACCAGTTGTATATTTTATCACTGAGTGGTCTTTTCCCCTCCTTATTCTACAGGGCGGCAGAGTTCTGGTTGATGCACGAGACAAACTAGGCATCCCTTGGCAGTACACAGAGAATGAGAAGCATGGGATGTTTCTAATGGCCTTTGAAAACAGAGCTGGGATCCCCATTGAGCCCTCTGTGTTCCAGCTGTACGTACCTGCGCTGATGGGGCTGTGGAAGGATGCTGGGATCAAGGAAGCTTTTGGCCGTCGAAGTGAATATCAGCTGGTGAGTACATTAAGTGGTGTGTCGAACGATTTTCTCCACAGTAATCTAAATGCACCTTCAGTTTAAGAGCAGTTTCTGAAATGATGTTCCATCCACTGTCCAGGCACTGTTGGGTATATAAATTCTGGTATCGGTGGTAGCATACCTTTACTTGAAATTAAGTTTCAAAACCTGCATTCAATAGGAAATGAGACTGCAAGAAGCAGTGTCTGCATTTTCCTGAAAGGAAAGCTCGTTTGGTCCTCTTTTGGCTTCCTTCCATTTCTCCATGATGTAGCTTGGTCTTTTGAGTGTGTTATTTTATGTCCATCTTTTCATAATTCTTAATTTCTTAGCAGGTGTGAGCTACATTAAAAGGCACAAGGCAGCTTTCTAAAATCTGATAAATTTCCTAGAGGTGTTAAGCAGTATATAGGTATTTCAATTAGTCTTTGACATCAAGTCTTTCTGTTTCACATCTGCAGCACCAATGGATTTTCTTTCACGCATTTCAGGATTAGGTTTTTGTCATCTTTCCATGAAGTAGTAATATCTTTACTTTAAAACAAGGTGAATGTTTTGTTTTAATTCTAAAGCCTTATTCTGTCTTGGTTTTGCTGGAAAATTATTGCAAGGATTTTAAAATTCTTTGCCCCCCCATCCCCCAACAAAACTCCCAAAAGCCAACAACCAAGAGCTGTATTCCTGCTGGGCCTTTTCCTGCAAAGTTGTTGGATATTTTCAGCCTCTGGGTTGTTATTTCTAGTTAATCTTTCCCTTTTAGCCTTATAATAAAATATCTGTTTGAAGATTAAAGTATAAATCTGGCTAGTGGCTCCAAGGAGAAAGGCAGAGGGAGCGCTGGGCTTGAACTATAGCTGCACTGGCTGAATCTCTTTATGGTAAAAACAGTTTGTCTCCGGTTTGCTATGAAAGTGGACTAGTCTGCTTTTGCCGACTTTTTGCCCTTTTCAGCATGGCATGACCATGAGCATGGATTCAGGTGTATTTGTGTTGAATACAAAGTTATGATTTTGGCTAAATTTGGAGAGAGTTATAGCATAGGAGTCTTTCTCTAGTTTACAGTTGTGATTTGTCTGTCTATTTACTTGGTTATGCAGGCCACCAAATTAGAAATCTAGTAGAAAATGGTTGGCAGAGTAATGAAATCTGACTTGAAGCACTCTTAAGTTTGATTATCTGAAGGTAACAATTTAACATAGGGATTATATGCAATTTCATATTTGTTTGCAGCATGAAAATTACAGTGGTTGACTATTGCTGAATAAAAATTACTTCACTAAGCACAAAAGGCATTTTTTGCATTCTACTTTGGACCCAATACATTGACATTCTGAATTTTTGCCTGGGTGTTTGAGCCCATCTCTTTGTGAGTAATTTTATAATAGCAGTATTTTCTCTCCTTCCCTCTTTCTCCCCTAAAACACATTAACCAGCTTTCCCCATCTGTGTCGCCTGGTAAGTCCCGCTGTCTCTTTTATGTAAACAAGGCTTTGTGTGACAAAAGCTTCATTGTGTATGTCAGCTACATTGTCAGGTCTCTGTCCTTTTGAGGGGAAGATGGGGGTGGTTAGCTAAAGAATAAAAATTCTTTTGTAATCAGTATGAGATTCTCCACCCCCATATTCTTCTACTTATTTAAAAGGCACATATTGCTTTCTAAAGAGCTCCTATGCATCTTATTTTTGGTGGCTGCCTCTTTGTCAAGGCAGACTAGCAACATCCTTGATAGGCAGACTATGCATGGTATTTTGAGTGGGTATGCTTGCTTTCTTACTCTGTTACCAGAATAATGTTATAATCCTTTGCACAGTGATTCTTCTGGGCCACTTAGCCCCCTGAGGTGATAATAAATATCTTGGGGGGTTAACAAAGGGATTCAGAAATTAAAAGAATCATTCTGTATTTAGGAGCCCTCTTCTGCTTTGCCATGGCTTCTGGCAAGCAGCAGAGAAGCATTGTTGTCAACTGCTCACTCCACCCTGAGGATGAAACCCTAGTCCTTCGTGTGGCAAACAGCAGTAAAGGATCTCACAATATTTGAAATTGAGGTCCTTCCATGAACTTTATTGGTAGGAGATGCAGGACATATAAAAGGAAGTGCTTCATACAGTACATGGAATCGTGGTGGCCCCAAGTTTGGAAAGTTTTGGAGGGGACTGAGCCAATTCATGGAGGAGAAGGCTGCCGGGGGCTGCTCGTCCTGCTGGCTCTGACGGCGTGGCTGCAGGCACCCGTCGCTGGGAAATACGGTTGAGAAGCTGCTGTTCTACTCTGGGGCCGCTTGTGGTTTTCCCACAGGCGGCCGGCTGGTCTCTGGGTGAACAAAACGCCGGCCTAAATCTGCTCTTGGTCTGATTCGGCAGTGCGCTTTTTATGCTGTCGTGCTTGGGGCAAACCTCAACAAAAATACCAATTGATAAAGATGCCAAGTATGCACGATGAGCTCCCAGAAAGAAACAAAGGTGATGGTGAAACAGGTTCACAGACGTGTCAGTTGAGTGAGATCAAGGCAACATTAAGATAACATTCCTCAGCCTGTTACTTGTAAGCCACCTAGGAAGGCCTTTGGCAGGTATAGGCAGCATATGAATATGCGAATGCGTGAATTTTGGACTTCAACTCATCAGCCCTGGCAAGCGTGACCAGTGTTCTGGAATGCTTGGAGTTACAGTCCCAAACTTCAGAGAAGAACCAGGTTGGCCGATGGCCCTCAGACACAAGCGTCTTTCTTCGTGTATGCCTGAGATCTGTGTAAGATGTATAACATAAATGTACCTATACATCAAAATATAGTCTTTGATGTTTTCATGTCTTGGTGGACATTTAGTGATCCTGTAGGAGGTAGTAAGTAGAGTTAGAGATTATGAACCATGGAATTTGTAGTTCATTTGCATCCAGTAATCTTTACAACAGGCCTGTAAACTTATACTGATGGTATTTCTATAGTGCATGTAGGTGACTGAGGCTTAGAGGTAGCATAGAAATAAAGGTGGAGCTATTCCATGGCAGCTGCATATACTACAGCTTCAGGGTTTCAGGAGTCTTCCTCTAGTTTTGGACTAGTTGGAAAGGAAGGCAGTGCCCAGAAATAAAGACATGGGGGGGAAACCTCAAACAGATGCTCAAAAACCAAATTTGTTGTGCCGTATAATATACCTGTCACATTTTAAGTAGCTATTTCAGGAAAAGAAATTTATTCTGCTGTTGTATAACAGCAGTTCACCTAGGGCTGTTGAAAGTCTAGCTGGAAAATGCTTCCCTGGAGGAAGGGGCGCGTCTTCCCTCTCCATCTCCTTGATCCTGCAAATCTGCATGCTGATTTACCTGTGTATCAGTCGCACTGGCTTCATTGCAGTTGCAGGACTGGACCCTTCCTATTTTGGATGCTCATCTTGATACTAAATGGACTACTTTGTGCTGATGAAAACAAGCAGTTTTCTAACACTGTTTAAACACTATGTCTGTACCTTGAAACATTTTACAATCTCGCCGTACCTTTTTGAGATTTAAATGCTTTACTTAAGGGCCTGGTGGCAGCTATGCTTGGAAACAGTCTATTCATTCCCATCAGGAAATGTTGGCAGATGATGTGAGAAGTAAGAGAGGAAACCACAGATCAAACTCTTGCTGAGCCAGTACCAAACAGTGGTAAAATCCCCAGCATAGCCTGTTCTTTTTTCTGTCTGGCAAGGAAAACACTCTCCATGCAGATAAAACTCAGTCCAGTGGAAAGGCCTTGGCTTTTGATGAAACAGCGTATGCATGACTAGGCAGGAATTCAGTCTGAACAAGAGTTCTGTAAACGTTGTGAAGGAGTGAATGCCCAGATTTGCTCAAAAAAATACAAGAAATAAGTAAAGATTCTTTACTTTGAATGTCTGTGTCAAACATTAAGGAGAAGATGGCACATTGGTGCAAATTTTGCAATCATTGCAAAAATACTGTAGTAATTAATCCTTTGATGTAAAATTGAAGGTAGGTGAGTTCTCAAGTTTTGAAGTAATGGTTTTTAATTGTCAAAAACATAGGAACATAATGCTGATTTTAAAAACGATATTGCTCACAGCACTAATTATCATAGTTACAGTCCAAGTAACCAAGCATATGCATTTTGTCTTTGAGCTTTCTTTGCTGTATGGGTGACCTCATGTTTACATTTCTGACATGCATAGGAAATGTCTTTTCCTCCTAGGAGCATGACATATGTGACACATGCTCTTCCCACATTTTTCCACAACAGTCCTGTGAGGTAGGTCAGTTGCCAGGAAAGTAACTGGCCCAAGGTCACCCCTGTGAGCTTCAGGGCTGAGTGAGTTTTCACCCTGGAATGGTTGATTTTAGCAAGGCATTTTGATGGTTAACGGAATTCTTTTAACAAGGTTTCTTTAAATTCAAGTACAAGAAGAATCCATGGTTAGGTGGTCTCTCTTACTATGACCAAGCTAAATGCCTTTGAATTCTCCCCGGTGTTTAATCACGCGAGATGTTTTGTTGGAAGAACTTGAAAGCATGCTCATTTTCGTGACATTTTCCTTGGATCGATAACAGCCTTTTGTGCACCCTGATGTATCTGTGAGACTGTCATCATTAGAGACGGGAAGGAAGAAGAATGAACTTGATCAAGAAAGAACACGCTTTGTTCAGTGTTCCCCTTCTATTTTGCTTGAACTTTGTAGTGCTGAAAAAAGCAAAAACAGAGAAAACACTGCTTCCTGAAAGCTCGCTATCAGTGTGTGTCCCACGTCCCAGTCTTGATTTTCCTGGAAGCCAGGGGCGAGCAGGGAATGGCCCCCGCCCTCCTTCCCTGCTTGCAGTTCCCCAGAGCCCATCTGCCTGGCTCATGTTAGAAATGGGGCCTGTGACTAGTTGGGCCGCCTGATTTCGGAACACAAGAAGCTGCCCTGAGTCATAGCCCAGTATTGTCAGCACTGACTAGCAGCAGCCATGTTTTACCTGGAGCTGCCGGGGACTGAACCTGGAACTTCCTGCATGCGAGT